GTCCACTTACAGCATCTTGATAAGAGGTGGGCTCCGATAAGTCATTAGTCTCGACTACGTTCACACTTGCACGCCATAATGCCGAAACGGAAATATCATTGTTTTCATCCTCGGAATTATGCACTTCTTGACCAGATCTTGACACTTTCATAACGCAATATTGACGCTTGACTAGACGAACGTTCATTTAGTCTTGAACACTTGCCTCTTCTTCCAGGCCTGCTTGACAATATTTGGACCCTGGTTCTTCACCTGTTTGATTGCGCTCTTGCGTTTGCAGCTTGCCTTTACCTGTTTGCCTGATATTTGTCGTGGCCAGATAGTCGTCATCTTCAATCTCAAGCAAGTCAAAATCCTGGTTTGCTGCTTCAACGTCATCAAGATTGTCCACTTCTTAATCAGCAAAACATGGCTCGTCAAACGTTATATCCCGACTAATCACATTTGTTGGGCTTGAATGTCATATACTCGATATGCATTTGACAATTCTTCATATCTCACAAACACACCTTCTCGAGACTTGAGGTCCCATTTAAGCCGCATTCATTCGGAGTCGAGACGAAAGCTCGAAACCAAAAAACGCGCATATGCTTGACGCTTGACTTAGACTTGTGCACGATTTCGAATGAAGCTTTGTTCTTTATTCTTGGTGATAGAATGCGAATCTTGATGTATTTTACCGTTTTGGCAGCTTAATCTTAAATCATTTATATAGCTGAGTGTGATGTAGTGCACTGCATCCAATACCCACAATCGTGCGGATGGCGCGCTCAGCTATTCCGTTGTTTTGATATGCATATGGAAGTGAGACTTGTTGCTTAATGATGCTTTCGTCCTCGTACAACATCTTGAGCATGTTAGTAGCAAAGTCGCGGACTCCGCCCTGTCGTATAACTTGAACTTTCTCGCAAGTTGCGGTCTGCACCTTGAGTATAAATATCCTGATCGCATTTTCGCTGTCCGAACTAGCTTGTAAACACTTTCCCTTCATGCGTCCGCTGGCCCCGTCGACAATCAGCGGTAGGTATCTGCTTCCACCAAGCGACTCTCGCTCCATCGGACCGAAAATGTCGAAGTGTAGTAGCTCGAATACAGCATACTGACGCTTATCAGGGTTGCTTGGAAATGGCTTTCGAACCATCTTACCCTCTTGAAATCCACGACAAAGTTTGGTAACGTTGTCATCGATGCAGAAGAGGCGTCTTTGGTCATTCCAATAGCAATCATCTTGCGAAGAACATCATTTTGTGCGTGCATGAAGGTCAACTTTATTACTTGACTCAACCATGTTGACAGATCGCTGTGATACCAAAGGCCATAACGATCATCAACCAGATCAACAGTCGCCACCACCTTCTTTGAGTCTTTAACTGCGATATTCATGCTAGCTCCATCACATAATACTTGAAAGCAACCGCTTTTATTGATCTGCGAAACGGACAGCAGCTTCATGCTAATTTTTGGAGCGATAAACTCGTCCTTCATCTCGATGTCGCGTATGTCGCCGTTGGTAGAGCCATCTTCTGGATTTTAGTGCCCACATCCATGATGACAGTCTTGTTTCCGTCGGCTACCGAGAGCTCGCCACAGTCCTGCTCATCCAGGGTCACAAACGTTGACGTGTCGAAGTAAATGTGGTAATTAACCCCACTATCAATGTTTCACATACCCGGCATGTCTCTTCCAGACAATAAATTGCATTACAGGGATAATACAAAGACGACTCGATCGTAATAGCAGTCTTTGTTGTACTGATGATGTATATCTTAGCTCCGCGTCAATGATGTTGCACACTGTTGTCAAAGTTGCAGACAAGTGGTGGCAAGAAAGCGTTTTGACGAGCAGTCGCTAACTGGTGGATTCCAACATTACCGGTGTGGACAGGCTGATTGACGAGTTGCAATTTCGTGGATTAGCCCAGTAGAGCCATCATCGTCTTCATAAAAATTGACTGCATCGCTTGTCAACAGTTCATTGATTATACAAAGAAACGTCTTTAGCCTTTTCGTTTCTTGCGCTGCTTCTGGGAGTGCCATATATTCAGTCGACGACAACGCCAACACGCGCGCCGTTTCTTGCTTCGCCAGCAGAAAACACCGCAACTCATCATGATTGCGTATTCACTTGTGCTTCGTCTTTATTCGTTATTGTCAGTCCATTCGGCATCAGAATAGCCTTAAAGCTCGTGCTTACAATTTGCTTGGAACTTAATGCCGAAATTTTTTGTGCCTTGAATGTACTGGAAGACTCGCCTAAGAGCTTGCCATTGCGTTGAGCATCAATGCGCTGTAAATTGCCTCAACCATCTAAGTGTCGCTGCCAGATTTGAACGTGTGCCTACCATGAGGTAGATAAGGCACCCAACGGCATTGCGATACGGTACGCCAGCCATAGTCACGTCGTGTTTGCATCCACCTTCACACATTGCCTTTGTCAGCTCGAGGCTGGGATCTTGTGGTGTGCGAACTGGTTTGCAATGTGCCATCTTAAACTTCTCCAAAATGTCGTTTGCAAACTTGGTCTGCAACAATAAAGCTGTTCTCGCCGCCGTGTCGTGTCTAATCTCCATGCCAAGAATATACTTGAGCTGGACCATATCGGTCATCTCGAATCACTCGCTAAGCATCTGGATACTGCTACTTTCGAGGATCAAGTCGTCAACGTTAATCACAACAAAAATCACGTCTTGGGCCGTACGCTTTGTATGCACACAATGATCCGATCATACTTCTTGTATTCCATTTGTAAGTTTAAATCATCAATTGTCTTGTTCCACAATTTTGGCGACTGCCAGAGCCCGTACAACGACCTTTTAATTCACACACATGATCGGGATAACTTTTATCAACATAACCATCGGTCTGCACCAGGAAGAAGTCTTCTTCAAGATATCCATGTAGAAAAGCAGTCTATACATCCATTTGATGGACCGTGAGACCATACTGGGCACTGAGGCTGATCAATCTCTAATTAACGTAAAGTGTGAAACTGGTGAAAAGGTTTCATTATTCAATGCCAGACTTCTGTGCAAATCCTTTGGCCACTAGACGCGCTTTGTAGAGCTCAACCTCATCATTTTGATTTTCCTTAACGCGAAAGACCAATCTGCTTCCAATCGCTTTGCGTCCTCTGGAAGCGGCACTAGATCCCACGTCTTGTTTTGAGTAAGTAACTCCTTTTCCGAGTCACAAGCCTTCGCCAATTTATCTGCGACGCTGGATTCTGTTGCTAACTAGAACGTGGTCAGCACTTCTCCCACTGAATCCACGACGTAAGCAGCTTCAAAGGCTTTGCCCGAAGCTGACAATTCGTCACGTCCTTGCTCCGCATTGTGCTCGCTTAAGCGCTTGACTTCAGAAAGTTCCGCCGACACCTCATGCGATTTTGTTTGCTGATGTCGTTTATCTCCAGACTAAACGAAGCCTTCAAATCCATTGCGCTGAACGAACCGCTTTGCACTAGGAGTCTCTATAGTGTCCTCTAGCGACTGCATACGATTGTGTCTTTTGGTGCTTACACCATTCTTGTATTTATCCATTTCAGTATCTTCGTCTTGATCTTCTCCTTGTGCTTCTTCATCTGTATATACACTGTCTTCATATCTATCTTGATCACAACATTGATAAGGACTTCCAACATTGAAGACGTATTCAAGAAACTTTGCGTCACGCCTTAATACCACACGACCACTCTTTTGATTCCGAGTTGGTATGCTTTTTCATGCGCGAATACCGAATAAAATGGCAGAGCTCGTCTTGAACATTAAGCACAGCGCGTTTTCCTTTGGAACAGTCACAAAAGCATGGCAACCAGACACTTTTAGGTTGATCTAAACGGGGTTTCTTCCAGTCTAAACTTCATAAAAAGAATTTAATTCCACGCGTGGGGTACTGAATGCGCAAGTAGTTGGCAGTTATTACTGCTTCCCCCAATGCGCCTTGACGACCTCAATCATACAACGCGCACATTCCACCAATATCCTGTTCATATGCTAAGCGATTCCAGTAAGCTGCGGCGTATATGGCGGCGTAAACGTCTGCACAATACGACGGCGCTGACAAAACTGTGCTAATTTTCCAGACGATTAGTCACCACCATTATCACAGCAAAGAGCTTTCACGACTTTTCCAGTCTGAGTCTCTACGTATGCGACAAAAGAAACAAAATTGCTTGCAACTTCTGACATGTTCGCAGCAAGAACACCACGGTAAAATGCGAGTACTTGTCGATAAACGTAACAAAGTACCGCATGCTGTCTGCATCAAACCGCATAAGTCACTGTGAGCCACTTCCACCAGTTTTGTGGCGCGATGAGTAGATTTTGAGTTTAAGACAAGCACGTGTTTGTTTGTCAGGATGACATGGCTCCCACTGCTTCACTGATGTAAGTTAGATACCAATGCCATATTGACGATGGTATCAAGACCTTATTAGCCAATGTGTCTAAGTCGTAGGTGCCAGAGGTATAACGTGGTGTCTCCGAGGCATCCCGACGAGCTTGTCAAAATAGCTTCTTGTACATGAATTGGCTCCGTACATAGCTTGAATAGACACCAAGCATCCAGCATAACCCCTTCGCCTCCGCATAGCATCCATCACGCTCGAAGATGACCGGGCCAACGTCATGAGTAAAGCGTCCGTGGGAAAAATGGTTACGAGAAAGCTTACGTATGTGACATACAGACGGCAGCACACTATTCTTCGTTCCAAGTAGTGTTGTCATTGTCATTGTAATCTCGCCTGTTTCCACCGCTTGAACAACGTCATCGTCTACCAGATGAACATCGACAGGAGACATGACCTTGTAATTGTCATAAACTCTTGCGAGTGAGTCATGTACCAGAGTCAACCAGCCATACAGCACTCGACCTGGTGACGCATGCGTTTCCACTCACCAAAATTAGGGAATTGCCAGAAATATCCTCACTTTCTGCGACGTTGGCGCGCTGTGACTTTTGCCGTTCTACATTCTTGCGAATCCACATTAGACATTTGGTAATCTAGTGATCAATTTTACGACAGTAGTAACACGCGCTTGTAATCTTTGCTGACGCAATACGTCCTTTGCGGCGTCCGTTATCTATCGTTGCAAACGCTTGCTCTTGGCCATTTCTAGCACCGTCAATATCTGACTCTAGTTTCTTCCGCTTCATATCTTCGTGTAGTAGCCGAGACGTTACGATTTCCCACGTCAGCGATTCCGATCTTGGCTCTAAAGCAGTGATTAGGGACGTGTACCTCTCGCTCAAACTTGCGAGAAGCGTAATCACCAGATCATCATAAGTAACCGGAGCGCCCACCGCATCTAGCTGCTCCGCCAAAGTCTTCATCTTGTTGATGTGAGTACGCACATCATCTCCATCTTCCATCTCGGCCGTGAAGAATCGACGATGGAAATCAGCTTGTTCGCTAAGCTCTTCTTCTCGAAGTGGCCTTCAAGGCGCAACCATACATCGTGCGCTCCTTTCGCTGAACGGACCAACGGCAGTTGTGAATCTTTTAGTCCAAGGAAGATAATCGCTAGTGCTATTCTTGACTTGGACTTGAACGCAGATTGGTCCAACGCAGTAGCGATGTGCATTAACTTGACCCCACCACTCGTCACTTCCCAAAGGCCCCGCTCCTCCAGCACCATTTTCATTTTAAACTCTCACTTATGGTATTCGTTCAGTTAAATTTGTTAATGCGCGAGTTTGTAGCTGTAGCGGCATCCATGGCTAATGAGAAGTTGGTATCGGCATCGGAGGCAGAGAAGACAGGGCTTGGGCTCATAACCTGAACTAAATGAGCACTTGTGCGATAGTTGGCAAAATACAGATGTAATTATACTGAAGGTTCTAAGTTGCTTTGATACCTCTAAGCCTATTTAGAATATTCTACCAAATATTATACTAGATTGTCTACCGGATTTATGTACCTTTTATTCGCTTGTTGGAAGCCTCTGTGCTGGATACTTCACTGGATATTGCGCTTGCGAAGAATCCCGAGTTTTACAAGCACACAAAGCATATCGACATTCGCTACCATTTTGTACGTGAAAAATTTGAAGACAGCATAGGATCTCTCGAGTACACTTGACATCGGATATGCTGCGGATAAATGGTCAAGGCATTCCCGCAGGCCAGCCTGAATATCTTCGTAAAATGCTGATGTGTCAAGAACCAAACACCAGTACAGCCGCGTCTAGTGGGAGTGTTATTGACACGTCGTGAAGATTAGTGGTGCCAAGAAAGCGTTTCGACGAGCAGCCGCCAACCGGAAGATACCGGTATTAACAGTGTGCACAGGCTGATTGCTCGAGTTGCGGTGTAGTGAAATGCCAAGTATCTAGCAGAGAAGTATCCATAAGCGCATGATAGAAACATAAACCTATCCAATAAAGAATTCAGTAGATTATATGGTAGTATATTCTAGATAGGCTTGAAGGTAGCACAGCGAACAAAGCACCTTTACACTTTTCTTTGTATTTTGCCAACATATGCGCACTTGCTTTTACAGCAAGCTCGACACTGCGTTTCGAAGCAAAGGCCATGGCTACATCGAATTATTACTCACGTAAACACGTGCTCAACATAATATCGTCAAATGCAATATTAACTTCTGACAAGCAAAAAGCTGTAAGATGTGTAAACAAGCAGCCTTGCATTACACCGGTATTGCTGTGCAATCTGCCTAGTGGTAGATGTGTACCAACTATCATCACGCTAAACACGGCTGAGATAGCGCATCTACTGCGTAAGTAAAAATTACGACGTGGTTTCGAATGATAGAGACCGTTAGTCGCCGCGTTTTGATGCTAAAGCAATGTCATTAGTCCTTGCAAAACCTGGTCAACGCAAAGCCGTCAAATGCACCGCATACATGTAATGGGGTTTTACGTACCCTGATATACAGGGGTGGGTTACACAATATGGTGTGACCGTACGAAGGTGTGGATTACAAGTCGGTGTAATCACACAATGCTGTGGCTACACCGTAACCGCAAGCCACTTCTTGGCGGGACCGCCTGTAGTAATGTATTTTTTCAGGTTTTTTATCTATTTAATAAAACCTAAGGTTTTAGATATAGGCGGATCCACCGCAAATATAACAAATATATGCAGCAGCAATTTTGAACGGAGGAATATATTTGCTTGGTTAAGCTTTTAGTATTTGGAGGTAGCAGATTGCGATCCACATAACTCGAACTGGGTTTTGGTATAGAACAAAGGTCGATGACCTTAAGTAACCTTCTACTAGGCAAAGAGCTACGGCAGCCCCGCTGTACTTGGTGGTACTCATTTTCAATCTACGCCTGAGTCGTTTCGTCTGAACTTCTGTGAAGATAATGCCATTCTCTTATTTGCCTCAGTGCATGCAGGACGGGCTAAATAAGCTGATGTCCCTGCATGACCCTGAGGGTGAGTAACAACTTGCTTCGCAAGGACCCGAAGCGACAAGCGCGCGCCTGGAGGCGTTTTTGAATTATGAGTATGCTCTGCGAGAGCACCTAGAGACGAAGATGCCGGCATCGACTGCGTCCATGACGTCACCGTCGACGTCGGATGACTCCTCCAGACCTAGTTCGCTCATGGTAAGCGTTAAGACTATCGAGGTTAAGGGCGGACAAAATCTCTTATGATTCCTGTGGTGCTCGCCACTGGTAAAGCCGCTACATATGGCATCCGCCGTGCTTCAGAACGAGCAACAGCGCGTGGTACTAGCTATCTCCAAGCTCGGGACCGAGCGCGAGATTGCCGTGCGCTCTTCGGTTGACGC